AGCTTGAGATTTACATTATGATCTCCAATATTACAATTTGCCCCACAATTATAACTGTGTATAATTATAATACAGCTCTCATAATTTGTATGATTATCTTATCTTGGAAAGTAAGGCTATAACCATTCATAAATTCTTGGAATTTGCCATCTTCAAAGTTTGATACAATTCAGAAAAAGGACAGAAGTTACATTTTGGGTAAAAAAAAATGTGTTTGTAATCTTAAGTAAGAATGAATATTAAGCAGAAAACAAAAAAATTAACACTGCACACATATTCCCTTAACCTTGCCAATTTCCATGGGTTTTCACTTTGGTTCTCAGTTCAAAGTAGGAACTGATGAGAGGCCTCAAAATGGGATACACATAATTATTAAAAAAAATTAAAATTCTGCTTGACCATTTTTAAATAAAGTATCAACAACTATTTTCTACCATAATAGTTTTACCCTATATACTTGCAGATAGGACAATAATTTTAGATACCAAAATACTGTATATCCCCATGGATAAACTAATCCAGAAGATTATATGGTAATACTTTTTTAAAGTACGTATATATCCCATATATACTTGCTGATAAGCCCAGGCCTTGAATTTTTAACCAAAATACCAGTAAAATTCAGGTCAGCTTATTCACAGGTAGCACATTTAAATTAAAATCAAGGGTTGTCTTATCTGTAGCTGGGTTTATATGCACTTATACATGGTATGTCTATTGTTGTGTCACTATGAATTTCTAAATTTAGGGTATTCTACATTTCCTTAGGTTTCTCTGACATACAAATCATGTTTTGCCACTATTCCATAGTAATTTGGTAAGATGGCTATGATAAATAATATTGAATCAGGAAAAAAAATTAAAAAGGGGGAGGGTGAAAAAAGAGACCCTGAGCTAAAACACAAAACCTGCATCTGGTAATCCTGTACTGCATATTTGATGCCTGGGATTTGAAGAGTCATGAAGCACTTCTAGGATCATCTGACAATAAAGACACAAGGAAGGATAAGAAATCTATAGGTTTCTTCACTTCTTATCAGAGAATCCAAACAAACAGGAGGGTTTCCATTGGGTTTCTTAACACTTTTCAAACAGCCCATGATGAATCTTCAGCCTTTCTAGATATGAAAAATCCAAGCTCTGGGGCTAATTAGACACTATTGGATATGGAGTATTTTTCAACACTCTTATAGTAAATAGCTCTGATATTGGGGATTTTGCCCATTCGCCCAATCCCTGTCACAGCTAGAAAGATCAGTCACAAGACTGAACTGGTGAGGCTGAATAAAAGTAACTTGGCTAAGAAGGAGGCTGAAGCTGGATGAATTCCAAAAAACAAATTATTCTTTGGAATCCAATTCTTCCTCCAGGACACGCTGCACTGAAGACAAAGTTGTGATACTCAGAATCCACATGCATAGGAAAAATTTCTACCCATACACTACCTATGTACACAGATAGCTAAAACACAAGGAGTCTAGACAAAGCTTGTCTGCCTCTGTCAGTATTACTTCTACTGCTCTTCCTTCCAGCTTATTGTGTTCTGCTTTAAAATGAAGTATTGCACTACAACAACTTACTATTCTCATTTGCTGAACATGTGGGGGTTGTTGGCATTTTAAGAAACAGAGACGGCATTCGGTGCTAGCACTTCACTTTGCAAGAAACATATTTCTCAGTTATTTTTTTAAGAGAAAAAATCAAGAAAAGCCAGAAATCTGGCAAGCATAAAATGTGGTGATTGAGTAAAACCCATGGCCACCAGTTGAGAATCCTAGCCATACAGAAACCCACTATTATCGTTATTGCTGATAGGATTCAAAACACTGTACAACAAACAAACAAACAAACAAACACCATTAAGAAAAAGACTTTACCCCTTCCTCTCCTATTGTATATGTACATCTCTCTCTCTCTCTCTCTCTCTCTCTCTCTCTCTCTCTCTCTCTCTCTCTCTTTCTCTCTCTCTGTACTAACACATTCTTTTTTCCCAATAGGATTACTATTTTAAGGGCTAAGGCTGCTATCAACTGTGTTTAATGCAGAGGAAAATGAATTACATATTAGAGACATTGAAAAGAAAACATGTTATGGCTCATACTTAGACCTAGCTCAGTCTGAAGTGAGTAATTTATTTTGGGCTATACCATTTCAGACAGAAGTACTTATTACTGAATGCTTTTCTATACAAATAAATTCCCTATTGCAGATGCAGGGCTGAAAGATTCTAATATAATACGTTCCATGAACTGGTCATTAAAATTTTATTGATTTGGAATTGAACCACATGGAAAATGAAAGATAATACATTTAGTGGCTCATCTCCTTCATGAGACTTTTGAAGTCCATCTTTGTACTACAGCAAACTCAGCACAGACACACACACACAGATTGAAGCCCACAGTCCTCCATGGCTTAGTAGAAGCCAAGACCACATGATAACATTCTAGCAATATAAAATACCCAAGATAATCAATACAAGCAAGAGTTAATCAGCAATAATAAACTCATCTAAGTAAAAAAAAACACGCCTTTGCTTAGTGTCATCAAGAAATGGAATAGATGCCAGATAAGCCACTCTGAAGACATTTTAAAATAGGTTGCGGAGTATTGCTATCCATCACATTTCAAGTTTTGTGATTTGTATTTGAGTACAAAAAAAATCCAATATATCCTGAATAACTCTAAAACTGCTACAGAGCTACAATGAAGGTAACAAAGTGAGAAAGAGCCTGTGGCCTAGGGGCAACACTTCTGCTTAACATGCAGACAGCCCAGGTTTGAATCTCAGCAAGGGTATGTCTGGCTGATGAAAACCTAATAAGGTTAGAAATAGCTATCCCAGTACTCCCTTAATTCTTTGTTAGCAATCCAAACTTTGAAAAACACATATGATGTCGCAGTTAAGCGACTGCTGCCTGTGGATGGCTCTGGATTGAGCTGATACAGGCAAAAGACTTCTCTCCTCCATATTTGGGCCGACAATGAAAGTATTTATGCCACAGGAAAAGAGTAATTATTTTGTGGGATTATTCGCAAAATTTAAAAGGCAATATTTGATTTTTTTAATATCTATACATAAAATCTATGATATCTGAATGAAGTCTTGGTAATGTCACTAGTCAGCTTCAGAACTGACAACTTCTATATTTACACTGGTCAAAGTAAGCTGTTTCCTCACTCTGGACCTTTTTGAGAATTTCAGTTCAATTCTTTAAAACTGGACGCATTTCATTTTTAATCCACTAATGCATGCTCGTTCTAATGAGTCACTGAAAAGAAGCAAGAGACAGACAGTTTTTACTGCTTGGCTGGCTGAAGCAGATTCCTGCTGATGGCAACAATTTATTTGGTGGTTGCTTAAAAGTCCTTTTAAAACATTCTATTGAATTCCAAAAATGCTATTTCCTCTGAAGTTATTTCTCTATACATGCCATAGGACAAATCATACTTGGATTTGAGCACTGCTTTCCATAGTATCTTCAGATAGCCAACATAAAAGTACAATTGTTTCTTTCTGTCTCTGTCACATAACACTTTGTCATTTAAAATTTAGTCTTCCTCGATTACACATTTAAGGTATAGTTTATGATGGGTTTGATCCAGATTTAGGTAAGTGTAATAATGTTACATTTCTTCCCTCAGCCTCAGGTGCCACAATTTGTGTCATTCATCACAGTCCTCTAACTACCTCTCAAGCACTTGAGAAATAGATGAGCAGCTGGGGGGGGGGGAAGGAGGGAAAGAGCTACAAACTATTGCCTTGCTATATGATACACCTTAATTTTAGTCCAATCCTCTAATCTTTCTTGTGGCTACTTTTAAGACATAGTATTCTAAGATAAGGGTAAAGAAAAAATCCCATTCTAAATTTCCAGGCTATTCCTGCATAGTTCTCAACTGAAGATTTTTATGTAATTTTTTATGCAATTTGAGGCCATATTTATTTTGAAAATTGTTCTTAAAATATCTCACATTGTTTTCTTGAATTAAATAATAATAAATCAAGTAAATCCACTCCTCTTTTTTCAAATTTTCTAAATTTAACCAACTTTTATTTTGAAATAAAATAGGGACAAAGAGAATAAACAGTTTGTTGTATGTTTCTTAGGCAGCTGATTTTCCTGAATATGGAATGACCTTATTAGTTAATCAACTGATCGAGGGGAAAAAAACTATTACATTTCAAACTACATCCGTAACTTGACATTTCTATCATTCACCAAAAACACTGAATGTCTTCAGCTCTTGACAATGAACGTTTTTCCATCCAGTTATGAGGAGTCTTAACTTGTTAACTTTCTCAATCCACTCCTCCCCCAACATCTACACCTATATACAGCTAAAACTATTGTTTGCAAAACCTGTCACTGGGCAAAACAGTGAGAAGTGCCACAGCAGTCAGGAATGGTACACAGCATGCCGCAAGGGTCAGAGAAGACACGCAGCATGGTGGCACAGGTTGAAGGAGGATGTAGGGAGGTGGCATGGACTGGAAAGGGTGATGGAGATTTTGTCTTCCTTGTTCCTCCCTTTCTTCCTTCCTAATTCCTTTTCTAGCAGGCAGGTAAGTGGCTGTTGCTAGGTGTGAGAAGGAACAAGGGATTGTGAGATTGGCTGGGCAACTGTCACAGAATGTTGAAAACAAAGATTACAGACTGCAGCAGCAGCCAAGTAACACTGAAGCAGTCACAACTTTCATTTTCTCAAGAATAATAGGTCCCATATTTTGCATATACTCTATAAATTAGCCCACTTGAGGTCATGACAAGTGTTTTAGTGGTATACAGTTAGATTCATCTTTGAATGTATCTCAATCTTTCCAGTGAGGCCAGTACATTAGAAGTTCTTTCAGTGTTGAAGACATTGAGGAATCTGGTAAGAAAATATCTCTGAAAGGATCACCCATTGGAACGCAGGTTGTCTAGGTTCTAATAAAATCAAGTATTCCTTCAAACCAATAGAAATGTTTTGTATAAAAACAAAAAATCAAAGCCTACCTGGTCCCATGGACAGATTATTCCTCCAAACCACATGAAGAGATATCCCATGGCAACAAGGCATACCCACACAACCACAGAGAAAACACGTAGGAACTTTTTGAATAATGGTTCTATGCAGGCAAGGATAAATATGGCAAAGAAAATTGCCAGAGCGGTAGGAACAGTTATCAAGAATGCGACATGGTCCTCCGTTTCCTGAAAATAAGAAAATATGAAAGCTTACAATTTATTCTAAGAAAAAGAACAATGTTTATCATCCTCTATTGAAATAAATACCAAATTAATAAAACTTTGCTAGACTGATCATACGTTTAGATTACCATGTATTGCATTTTCAAGGGCCAATTATGTTTGTGTGAAGCAGAGGAGGGGTGTCACAGGGCAACTTGTTTTAACAAACAATATAAAGAAAAATGTATTTTAAATAAAAAGAGAGAGAAGCAATGTATTTTCTAGCTAATGCTTGAACAATTAAAACCTATTGGTTTGCAACTTGAATTGAATTCTCTTATGAATGTAAAATTTTATTATGCTGCTCAGTTGCCTTTCACTATGTACTGCATTTGCTGGGAGAAAAAAAGTAGTTATACAGTTTGTCTTTCTGCGTGCATACACCAGAAACTAGATTTTATTAAATTCAGGGTTACTTAATTCTGAATAAACACACTGAGGAACGCACTGTCACTTACTTGCAGTCTAAAGCTAGGATCCAAAGCAGCATGAAACTAATTCCACGAATTCCAGGAGTTAGTTTATGCTTTCCTTCCATAAAACATGGCAAACTGTAGATGGAAATTTCCAAGCAGTTATTGTCAGGTTAGTGTGTTTTCGAGATTTCTACACGCTGACTTAAACCCCTCACATGAGCTTAAGGAGTCCTTGAGAACCAGTCTTTGGGATCCTTTCTGTATAATATACATACAACATTTATTTGGAGACTGTCTTTCTAACAAAATCATTTTCTGGTGCTCAAAAATAAATATGGTACACTTGAAGTAAAGAACGTCTCTTCCAAACATTAGCTTTCAGGGTGGGGTGAAGTTGCGATTAGAAAGACTGTGAGCCTAATCCATTTCTTTGGCCAAAAATTCTAAAAATCTCCATAATTTACTTTGCATCTGTTTTCAGTTTCCATCTCCAAGTGCAGTTTCCCTTTCTGAAATCCACCCACATTAGATTTAAAAGAAACTTTTGCCAACTTCTATATAAAACAATAACAAAAGCCTGAATTATTTTGATAAATTATTTTGCAATCTAGATTTTATTTTAATCACTTTTCCATTTCCCACATAAGGCAAACCAGCCACATATGAAAATTAAACTGAAATCTGCTTGATTCCTTCTATAATCAAGTGGGAGGAGGAGAGAAGAGTGGAGTTCACACTTAATCTGCAATGAAGCTAGATAAATACTTTTCCATAAAATAGAAAGGAAAGGTTAGAGAATTCACTGGATAACAACATAACTGTTGAATATATATTTGTAATGCAATGAACAATACACTGCATTTACTTTAAAATTTATTAACCTCAAGGATTGATCAAACCACACTTAATTTTATATAGATAAGCAGTTTTTAATTCAGTTTGAAAGCATTCCATGAGTTCTGTAATTTACAAACTGATTTGTCACTCTCTCACTGTGAGCAGTACTACAACTCTCAGAATAGCAAATCTGATTTCTGGTTATTCCTTTTATAGATATTTTATTTAATATTTCTGTCAAAGAGGTTTTCCAAATAGCACGTAACACTGTAACAGTCAGTTATTAAATAATATGAATCTTACTAGAACTACTAAATCAGAGTGCCTCTGCAGATTTAACCATCACTGTTTGTGCCATAAGAGGCTATATCAATCAGCCAAATCTTTCTAACAGTCGTAGATCAGCTTATAAGAGGGAATATAAACAGCATTATGAGGCATACTACCTATTGCAGACATTAATAATCTGGACATTTCACCTGCATTTTTTTGCCCCTACTATGATGTACAATGATAAAATGTTTTCACAATTTCTTATTAATGGCAATGTGGCAATACCTTCCTTATTTTCTATTTATATTTTTGCTAATTTATATACAAATGTATCACTAGCTTTAAATGCTTTTACCTGGCCTAGCCTATACTATGTTTCTACATGTTTGATATAGCATGTGAATCTATAATATGTCATATTTAGCTTTGGCAACATTATTAAAATGATCTTGAGTTTCACAATATTTATTTTAAACACTATGTTCTCTGTCCGCTCTTTTTTTTCCCAACTATGCAAATATATTTAAAAATAAACCTCTGGCATATGCTTCTCTCTTTCCTTATTATTTTCTTCTCTACCTCTTTAGTTGTGTTAATATGAAAAAACATCACATTTCTATGCATCTATAACTATTTGTGCTAAGATTACAAAACCCCTTTTAGTAAGAATTCTAGAACAATCATTTCTTAAAGCCAAAAATAACATATACTGTAGTTATTTTATTCTAAATTCTAAACTCCTCTATAGACCCTCTAGCTTAAAATACTATATTTAGTTCTTTTTTTACACTTATTTGTGTAACCTGCTCTCCTAGGTAGCCGTAGCTGACGGAGAACTCTCTAATCCAGAAAGCTTCAAGTAAATGCTAAAACACATTGCTGCCAGGAGCAATATAGCCTCCTAAAGTTGTGGCCAAGCCCACAAATGGGACAGAGTCCCCTCCACAGACCTTTTAGCTAAGCTGCAGTAATGACTCTAGGCACAGGTCACAATCTCCCAGTCCTGGTTGCTTGGTCACATCTGCAGTACCTTGTCACTGACCTCACAAAAGCAATAGTTATTCAGATCAAAACTTCCACCAAGCAGCTTGTTCAGAAAGACTGGACTGCTTGGATGGCCCACATCCATTTAATTGCCCACACACACACACACACCCTAGGAAGCAAGTCACAGAAGCTTAACTGAAGAAAGTGGCAGGAAAGATGCCATGAAAATCTATACAGTGGAAAAGAAGCAGACAGTCCTATGTTCCTCCAGCAGAACAGACATACTAGTAGCATGAAGAGCAACATTCATTTTGAATTTGCTTTTCTAATGGAAATGCTGAAGAAAGATGGGTCGGAGTGTGTGTGTAATGTGGTCTATGTCTGTATGTTGGACAGGGAGACAAAAACAATGTTGCCCTTGTTTTGTTAAAGATAAGGGATTACATCTGCATTGAAAAATATTTTTTAAAGAGCAACACTACAATTTTTTTCCACACTTCCAGCCTGCTTCCACTAATTCAGGAGCTATTTCTTAGTGCCCTACTAAGCATTTAATATTATTTTTCAGAGGACGAGAAGAAGGAGAAAGAGTGTAATAACTATGCACAGATTCCTCCCCATAAACAATTGCTTTCCCCTGCGTCCATGATACCATCCAATTTCAGGTGTAAATATTTATTAATTATTTATAGTTATTTATATGTATTATTCTGCTTAAACTTTCTGTTGTCTTCTAGAACCACAGCTTTTTCCTGATTTTTTTCTTTTTAGATAGCTTGATTAATTCTAGTCATTTCCAAAGTTGCTAATGTTCTATTTTTCAACCTGTTTTCAATATCTTACATAGCAAATAGTATAATAGCAAATAGTATAAATATTGAAATCTGCATTAACAGCCTTTGCTTTCTTTGCTTCAAATGGGAAATTATATTATACAGTTATTAAATATGTTTATAAATCTACTGAGCATCGTGTTTATTCAGGTTTATTGAATCTGTATATAAATTGAAAGAGATCAGTCAACCTCTATTTCATAAAGGGTTTATTAAAATTTCTAGAGAAGGCTCTAATGCTGTAAAAGGTGGAAGAAAAGAGAAAAGGAGGGTGATCAGAGCAAGGTGCATGGGCTCAGTTGCAGTGGTAATGAGTGCACTGTCAGAAGAACCGAAAGACCAGGTTAGGGACAGTTTGTCATGAAGAAAGTGTTTCTATCTGGAGAATAAGAGTTGATAACAACTTGAAGATTCATAATCAATCAATGATTATTAAAATGAAGATTAAAATGTTATCTTGTTTATTTACAATAAAACATCATTTTTTTAAAAACAAAATTGTCTGAAAATCTGTAACTCAGGAACATAAAATGGATTCAGTATCTACCTCGGAGAAACATGGTGAAAGAGGATGCCCTATATCAGTGGTGGCGAACCTATGGCACAGGTGCCAGAGGCGGCACTCAGAGCCCTCTCTGTTGGCACACGCGCCATCGCCCCAGTCGTAGGCCTTCAGCTGGGTTTTATAAAATCTTTTCGCTTTAGGCGAAAATCAATCAATTTCAATTTCTCGCGGGGAAAAAATGATCTTGCAAAGTTGGAATTGATTGATTGAACTTTTTAGTCCCACCCAATCTGCCGTTACCACCGCAGCCTTGCCCACCCAATGGGCCACGCCCACCCAATGGGCCACACCTACCCAATTGGCCACACCCAGCCAATGGGCCACATCCAGCCAATGGGCCACACCCACCCGGCACTCGACGATGCATAAGTTTTGGGTTGCAGTTTGGGCACTCAGTCTCTAAAATGTTCGCCATCACTGTCCTATATCAAATACAGGCTGTCGTATAATAGCAGTCAGACCAGTTTCCTATATCAAGTGTGGCAACAGCTCACCAAGTTCCAGCAGAGGAAGTGCTCTGAATGGAACATGTGATATTTGTGCACTACATACGTGCTCTACTATGGAACTACAGCTATTCAGCTAAAAAAATTTTGGCCAACTGTCCTAGACAGTTTCCCTGGTACAAAGCTAAATTTTAACAAAAATTTTAATCTCAGATGAAAAAGAGAAACTAAACATTTAAAAACTGGCCAAAACGGATTAAGCAAAAGCCTTGTTTAAATATTGTTTCTGTAATAAATGCAAGTAGGCTGCACCAAATAATTGTATCTTGCCACAGGAAGAGGTAGATAAGTCCTTTCTCTGATCTTGTCAGGACTGCCATCCTGCTATGCCATGCATTGCCTGCTGTCAGCCTGCCATACTCAGTGGGGAGGGGAAAGCTGCAGGATGGGATGGGGGGCTGGCATGAGAGGAATCGAAACTATGCATTGTGCCCTCCCAGGAGAGCCACCTGCCGTCCCAAGGTCACACTGTGGAATGCAGAACCAAGGTCATACTGTGGAATGCAGAACCATTGAAACCAGGGGGGAAGGTGGGAACAAGGTAAAA